ACTAATATAACTAAATAATATATTTGTAATATCCCAATGAGTAGAAAAATTAGATTTTCTGCCACTTCTTCAGAGAATAAATAACCAAATTATGACATAATATTCGTGTTGTTCGGTTGTACTATTCAAACTTGGATTAATTTTAATTTGGTTATTTATTCTCTAAAAAAGTGGCTTACACTGAATCACGAAACGTCAGAAAGTCTAATTTTTCTACTCATTGGGATGTTACAAATATATTATTTATGTATAACAATCTACCCAATGCTCAATTTATTCAATATTATCAAATCAAAACTTGATAATGATACCAAGAGAACACTAATGACTATCGTGTCATGATCGTAGTTTGAAGAATCTGAAAAGCGAAATTCAGAAAGGTTTGAGAATAACTCTTGTCTAGTTTGCAAATATCGTTACGTGGTTAGTAATCAGCTTAACCGAAATTTTGTCTCAAACCCTTACCAACATAGTTAGTTGAGAAATAAACTGTACATGTTTGGCTATCAACAGTCATAACATGGAGTAATATAGTAAAAATATTGTAGAACTTTGGTCAATAAATAGTACTGATCCATGCAACTACTGACTGATGACTCGAACAATGTGAGAGCCTGAAAGTGCATGAACCTATAGTTGAATACTATAAATAAAAAGATAGAAAAACGTGTGTTATGTGGAAATGTCCACCTTATTTTACAATTTTTTCATTTTATTATTGTAAATTTATTTGTCTACACTTTTTTAACTTTCTTTTATATTTATGAGTTGTTTCTATTAAATTGTTTAAAACTATGGGAACATGTTAACGTCCAATACTATTACCCATACTCAAATAATCCAATAAGGTGATTAGATTTCCATCACACGGAATCCATTTACGTATATCTCGCATTGAGCTCCATTCATTGTTTGTGAAGGCTGGTGATACTATTCAGCTATCCAAACCAAATTAGATGAAACTAAACTCTATCTTTTGACGTGATAGTTAAGAGTCAAGCAGTTTGACATCTTAATTACCTCTGATTGTATATGCAGGACTGCTACTAAAAATGATCCCGACTGTTGCAGCTACCTTGACGTGGTGGTCGGGCTTGCCTATTGCAAAGAACAAATCGAGCTATACCGGCTGGAACAATCGCTCCTCAAGGTCCTACCATGCCAGACAGGTCGATATGAGAACGGTAAGACTAAAAGCAGCAAACCCAAAGTCCGAAGGCGTACTGTTGACTGTACAGAGGTGTGACAGCAGTAATGTGCTTCCTTCAGACAACCAGCATAACAGCGACGCCACCTTCCCACAAAGTGGGGTGGGGTTAGAAAAGGTCGACCCTGAAATTACACACCTCGCCTTATCCCACGGATATCCGTCTCCGGCGGTAACGTCTCAACAAGTACAGAGCTAACACAAAAACTACCCACAAAAGGTCGTGTGACCGGCCTCAAGAGGTTGTCCCTTGGGCACTGCGGTCACGCTCTCAGGTCATCAAGACCAACTCTAACGCAATTGCCTTTTCAGGTGCCTTGAGAAGAACCCTTCCACAGTGTGGGCTACCGGGAAGTGATAACCGCCCTCATTCCCCTAACAGTGCTCAAGATCACTGCATTCATAAGCAATCTCCTCCAATTCCTATTATTCCTCCTACATCGACTTTCAACACTTAACTTACTTTTTTGAATTCCTCCTCAAGTGACACCATGGCCAACGATCCTAGTGCGCGAAACACTATCCCAGGTCTACTAAAACCTCGCTCCAAACTACACATTTGAGTCTTCAAAGTACATACCCTAAGTCAAGCCAACAGGCCTTCTTGGCTAAGACCCTAGAATATCGTACCATCGATGTATGCTGTGGCTCCAAAACACGTATACAGGATCTTAGTGTGGTCATTCACTTGATTTCACCTCACCAAAATGGAGAGCCGATGAGATACAGCCTCCGTGTATCTGGCGACCTGATGGCTAGTTCTCGTGGACTTGCAGGTGTAGGCATAGCGCTTAGTACGAGGGCAGAACAAGCACTACTAGAATGGATCCCCGTTAACAGTCGCCTGTGCGCTGTCTGGCTAAATGGCTTCGTAAGAACTCGAAAGGATAGGGACACACGTCGTTGCCTTTTCGTCGTTTCTGCCTACGCTCCCATTGACTGAAGCCCGGATGAAGTGAGAGATGACTCTTACAGAAAGCTCTCTGATGTTCTTTAAAAAGCTAAGCGCTCAGACATAGTGCTCGTAGTGGGTGACTTTAATGTCAAATTAGGTAGCTTAAACCAAACATAAAGACATTTAGGTGGGTATTTTAGTATCCAGGCTCAACAAACAGATAATGGTGATCGTATGCTGCGACTGTGCTCAGATGATCGTTTATTTTTATCAATCACTAATTTTAAGCACCTGCACCAAACCAACGATGGACTCAAATAGGACCATATTGCCATCAGTCATCGTTGGAGAGGCTCGATAGAAGATTGTCGCTCGTATTGGAATACTTGTTTAGACTCTGATCACGCTTTAATACGAGCACGCATTTGTCTGCGCCTCAATGGACTCAGGAAAACTACACTAAGAAGACCCATTAGGATTGAACTGGAGGACGAAAAATCCAAATGTAAATTCCAAGAACAACTGAGTTCACATCTAGCAGTTCTGTAAACGAAACTGACCAAGATGTTGCTTGATAAGACATACGAACAGCTGTGGAAACAGCAGTCACATCTATTAGTAATTTGAACCATAGGGTTCCAAAAAACCAATGGATTTCTTCTAAGTCTATTTCCATGATGGATTCGCGTAAATTCATCCCATCAGGCTCCGAATACAACGAAGAGCGTAAACAAATCAAATCTAGGTTGATTAAAAGTCTAAGGAACGATAGTGAACAGTGGTGGGCAACGAAAGCAAAAGAGATGGAAAAGGCAGCGGCTGTAGGCAATACCAGGAAACTCTTCAGACTAATAAAAGAAACCGGAATTAATAAGTCAAGTGTAAGTAAAACGATATCAGAAAAAGACGGAACCCTTATCTGCTCTCAGCCCAGACGTTTAGAACGATGAGCGAAACACTTTAAGGAGTAGTTTAGCTGGCCTTCAGCTACTGCACAACTACCCACTATTCCCAGACAGTCTGAATGGAACATTGAAGTAGGCCCTTCGGCCCTACCTGAAGTTCAAATGGCTGTGACTAATCTGAAACGAGGAAGAGCAGCTGGTCCAGATGGATTGGCTCCAGAGGTCTTTAAATATGGTGGTCCAATTTTAGCGATTAGGTTGACTAATATTCTGACTAAAATCTAGGAGTTGGACGTAATCCCATCCGACTGGTCACAATCACTTGTTGTCCCAATATATAAGAAGGGGCCAAAATCATCCTGTGATAACCATAGAGGGATTAGTCTGACTAACATAGCATCTAAAATACTGGCTTCAGACGTGGTCGTGGCTGCTTCAATCACATATTCACTATTCGTCAGGTTTTAGAGCACAGACATGTTTATCGGCGTCCGACAATGATAGTTTTTCTTGACTTGAAAGCAGCATTTGACTCTGTAGACCGAGAGATTCTGTGGCAGTGTCTGACATTGAAAGGTGTACCTCAGAAGTGCATAAACCTTGTGAAGGCTCTTTACTCGAACACTATCAGTCGAGTGAGAGCTTATGGCGAACTGTCATATGATTTTACAACCTCAAGTGGTGTCAGACAATGTTGTCCACTATCCCCATTTTTGTTTAACTCCATTATAGACCTATTGCTGGAAATAACACTCCTGTCAGAACTGAGTAATAATGCCAGGATGTTTGGGATGCGTTTCTCCCCAACTAAATGTAAATTGTTACTCCAGGACTGGCCTGCGTCAACACCTGAACTAAGGATAGGGAGTGAAGTAGTCGAACGCGTGGACAACTTCACTTATCTTGGAAGTCTGATCAGCCCTAATGGGTTGGTGTCTGACGAAATCTCAGCACGGATTCAGAAGGCTCGTTTGGCTTTTGCCAACTTACGTCACCTATGGCGAAGACGAGATATCCGTCTATCAATTAAGGGACGAGTATACTGCTCAGCAGTTCGCTCTGTTCTACATTACGGCTGTGAAACATGGCCATTAAGAGTAGAAGATTCTCGTAGGTTACTAGTATTTGATCACAGATGTCTTAGAAATATTGCTCGCATCTGCTGGGATAACCGGGTAAGTAATAGTGAGGTTAGACGCAGGGTATTAGGGAATGATGGTAAATCAGTTGATGAGGTCATGAATCTTCATCGACTGAGTTGGTTGGGCCACGTGTTACGTATGCCTGAACACTGATTACCACGACTCGCTATGCTGACTAGTACTGGGGATGGTTGGAAGAGAGTTAGAGGAGGTCAAACCAAAACGTATCATCAGAGTTTGAAGTCACTAACTTCTAATCTGAACCATGTTGGTAGATGCAGACTACTTGGTTGGGATCCGCGTGACTATCGTAACCAATGGTTGGAGACTCTGAGTGATATGGCTCAGAATCGATCACAATGGCGTAGGTTTATGCGCTCTTTATCTTCCCTTAAACCTTGAGATTAAAATTGCTTCATAACGTTCTTTCTTCCTATACTATATCCTTATATACAACCTATAATTTATATACAACCACCACTAAATTAACTATTTTTATGAATCTAGTGTTCATCTTGTTGTGCTTACGAGGTATGGCAACTTGGACCGATGCATAAATGTGCCTGGTTCTACGTTGTAGCTGACTGAATGAGACTTGTGAAATTGAATTAAAGTCAAATGTGTTCCATGTAGATAGAATAAAAGAGATTTGGATTGATCGAAACTCTTTTCTTTGAAACATTTATTCTGAATCCACTATATGACTTTTTCCGAAAAATATTTTAATACTATCATATTGATATACAGTTAAAACTAAAGTTCTTGTATATCGTTCTTTATGTTTCCTCATTAGTTATTGAATATGTATTGAGTCACTGTTGTTTGTTTTGTATTGTTTTTTTTTCGTTTAGAACTATCGATTTCTTCATTACCTAGTGACTATTGGAGATTTTATTATCATTGTGGTCTTGGACTTTTACAAAGGTTTGTTTAACTTTTATTTAAGAATTAATTTGGCTGTTTGCATAATGAACATTATAATTTGTTCGTTTAATTCTTATTTCATCCAGAAAGAAACAAGTAAATTTCAAAAGGAAATGTTGTATGTAATTTTCGCATGGGTTGTAAAATCAGTTTATTGGTTATATTAAAGCAGTTGTTTTTCTCATGAGGTCATCCGATTCTCTTATTTCATGCGAAATAAATTCAACCGTTGCATTTCATTTATGGTCGGTAATCTTACAGTTTTACAATTTTTTTTCCTTGACATTAGTTGACTTAATTATGAACCATTTGATTTAAGCTTTCAACGAAACCTAAATGAACGTCATTATTAGTTGCGAAATGCCCACTTTTCCATGTAAAAATGCTCATGTTACTTTGAATATAATCTCGTCTAGCTGTCCTGTGGAACACTTAGTGCTATTAACATCCATCGTCAAAGTTCAGAGAGGTGATTAGGATGTATCGTATGCATATTGCCGATATCTGAATAAGATTTTTTTCTCATGTTTGGGTGGTGAGTGAATTTCACCTTCTTATGTATCTACTTTCCATGGAAATTTGTTGATAATAAATACAAGTCTCAGAGAACAGTTTCAAATATATGACCCGTGAACAAGTTTCGCTTGATCATTTATATGCCTACCATAAATACATGAAGTTTTAACTTACTCATTCGTTTTCTTAATTTATAGTCACGAATCGTTGTTAGTTGATTTTAATAAAAGATGTATAGTTCTTATTTCCGGTCGATATGTACCTGTATGATAGATAATTACACAAGTTTCACACCCAGATAGGTGACAAAATAACTAAAAATTTATACGAAAGGTAAGTGCGTAATATGTTGCATATTGTTAGTTCTCAGATAGATTTGAAGTGGATTATTGACATTTCAAGTGATTTTTGATTGCAACAGGATTGGAACTAAACTATGAAACCAGACATTTAGTCACTTTTAAATATCTTGTATTCCACTTGTCGAAATGAATCTAATTAACCTGAATCAGCCTTGGAAATCTGAATAAGTCACTCAGTTACTCTCTGGAGTTCAGTTTCATGTAGTGGCCTGCTAATGAATGAAAGTTGTAACATTTTTCTGAAATTTGGTTCGTTTTTATCAAACAATTAGGGCGTGTTGTGTCTTGTGATTGCTAGCCAATATTTCGTGTCAAGTCACCAGTCAGAATCCTAATTCTAATTTGGTATATTTGGCGTCTATTATTTTCTCTATAGCTTAGTATCTCTGACTTTGCCAATTACACACGTGATCAGCATTATTAACCTTGTGCAGAAAATCCAGTTCCTATCAATCCGTAATTCGCAAGATTCTCCTTATTCTATCCCTTGGGTCCGATAACTGGCTTCTACTATGTTTATATTTTAAACAGACGTGGTTTATATATAGAAATACCGGACCTTATCACAACATAAAATGAAAAATGCCAATTATTCATAAGCAAGTTAAAAGTGGTTGTGAATAGAGGAGACTGAGTAACAGATTGCCAACAAATCGTATGATATTAGTTTATGGGTTATGCGGAAACTTATGATAAACGGAATACATATACACGGTAATCTAGTTACTTAATGATTATGCAATAAGAATTTACATAATGATAATTCGTAAATTAGTTCTGGAAGTTACCATTCCTTTAATTTTCACTTCGACATATCAGGACCCTACCATTGTAGGTCCCAGTTTTTCAAATCTGTATACTCTAAAACTTTTTTATTGTAATTTTAGCAATAAAATAAACGATCCAGTGATTTCTAAAAAATTGGTGAATAAAAGAAAAGTCGTGGATAGAATACACTATGCGTTCCTTAAAAATAATAAACTGTTCACAGAATTAAGTATGAATGCATTTCAGTGTATACTGTATCCTAATAGTGATAACAGTAATGTATACCTTGCAGGTTAGTATATCACTTCACTCTTTTCTTCAGTGTCATATCATGATATATTGGTTCTCAAAAACTATGTATCATCAGTATTTATTAAATGTTATTTCCCTTTGGTATGTTTTTCGACGTGTCTATTGATTTATTAATTATTTAAATAATTTAATATTATGGTCATCTTTGTAAAATTAATGCTGGTACGTACTGCCTGGATATGCAAATAACAAAACAAATTCATTTCGTTGATAGGACATAGTAATTATAGTCAAGTAAATAAAGGTCTTCCAAAGTAGGTAAATAATAATTTTTTAATGAGAGCTAAAACTTTTATACGTTACTAGTTAAAAAATAACTCGTAATCAAATATAGATTATTCGTTGTTTTTCTCACATTAGAATAGATACAGTTCGATTTTTCCACATAAATTATATACTACTACTATTAACTCGATAGTATGAATCGTTCGAGTTAATGTTTGACAGATTAACTTATCCCTACCATAAATATGCACTATGACTTAGTTAACCATTATATTATCATATAAATTATTCCATGCAGAATATAATGGTATTGAGAAAAATTAAATTATAGATTAAGAAAAAATGTGTTGTTCGAAAATAAACTGTAAGTATTATTTGATAGGCAATTGCCGATAAATATTACTCCATTTATCTCTAGGATTATGGAAAAAATTATTGATGACGAACTCTCCAACTATTTAGTCACTGAGAAATTTACCAATGATACGCAACATGGATTTCTTAAAAATCGATATATATATATATATATATATATATATTTGAGACGTGACATAATGTACGCGGTTTTCCAACAGTAAACGTAAGAACGTGACTCCATATATATAGAGAGAAAGAGTGAACAGCTTTAGAAGAAGAGGTGGAATATCTGGACCACCATAATTGTAGAGAAAGGATGAAATCCATTCTGCTCCGTAACCCCTCGAAACATTAAGAGTATTTATAGCCCTACTAGTTTTCAAGCTTGTGAAGGAGATAAATTTTATTGAGTTACTAGTCACGCACATAACTCTTGAAACAGCGCCATTTATGAATCTTTTGCCATTCGCAAAAATACCACGGAAAAGGTTTGCTATAGTTTTAGAGTAGTATGTAAAAGTGCTATCATGCAGGACCATGGTATATCAACATTTTGAGTTGATTTAGCGCGTTTATTGAAAAGGAGAATTAAGTTCTGTACTTTTGAGCTAGTAGTAAGTGCTAATAGCTCCTCATTAATGGCTATTCACATGTTTCTCGTTAATTTGCTTGAAAATTATTGTTATTTGTGCAACAGTCGTGAAGTCGTTTGACCTTAGATAACGTTTCTGGAGGCGTCTTAGTTTATTACGATATTTAGCTGGTATATATAATTCGTAAGCTTTACCAAACCTGTACGTTTTAATTGGTGCACAGGAATCTAGACAAGAGTTAACGATCAAATAGAATTTGTCGATGGCATCCATGAGTCTATTACATGAGAAAAATTCATCCGAGTCTGAGAGTTTAATCAGTGAGCTCAAGAGGTCCCAGTCAGTATACTTATAGTCTCTATATTGTCAGGTTTTTTGAATTGGTCGGTTATAAGATGGATAGATAAGGAGAGCACAAGCTATTATCTTATGGTCACTGGTTGTAAATTCATTGTATACTTGTACAGATAGTGGGATGACATCTCTACTAAATATTAGATCAAGTATATTATCGCCCCTTGTTGGGATACGAACCCACTGTGACCAACAGTGCAGGTTAAGGATTACCGAGAATTCACCATTACTTGACTGACAACTACCGGTACTCCAGTTAATCCCAGGATAATTAAAATCTCCAGTGATAAACTTAGCATTGAAGTTTAGAGCAGATGCATAATAATAAGTTCGTTCATATTATCCGAACTATCAGGAGCTCTGTATATACATCCTAAGAGTAGACTATGATTCAGGTTGTTGATTGATACCCAGACCGATTCTGGTAAACTATTCAAGACACTGTCTTCAACTTTATTAGTTGTTAGCGTATCTAAAACATATATGACAACCATCTCCTCGCTTAGTTTCTCTGTAATAGCGATAGAGTCGATAGTTTTGGATATTTAATTCGGAATCGGATACTGCTTGAGAGCACCTCGCTTCAGTGATGAGTATAAAAGAAGGCTTGATTAAAAAAGCTAAGGTTCTCAAGGCTGAAATTTTGTTCAGAAGTGAACGTGCATTGATAAGTAATAAGTTTAAAAAGAGCTTCTCTATCGATGGTAGGTGTTTTAGATTTGCCTGGACTATGGTTTAATATGTTTGACTGATTGTATGGGATATGGCTTGAAAAAACTGCAGTGTTACTGGGACCAGCGATTTCTGAAGGCCAAAAAAATCATTATTTTGATAAGGTGGATTAATTTGTTGAAATTGATTTGGTGAACAGTTAAGACAGACACCTGCAAGTTGGGGTTGAGTTGATGGTGCGTAACCTAGTAGTCCATCTTGCTCATTGGGAAAGTAATGAGAAGAGTTACATCTTACAGGTTTAATATTTAGAACATTTGAGGGTAACCATGGGGCAAGTTGGTTCACTGCGGTCTGTCTAATATTAGGCCTGCGTACACAATGGTCGTAGTGGCCGTCTTGTGCGACATTTGAACGAAGTGTGTCCTTATAACCTCCCCTACGATGAGTAGGGTTAAGCATGGTTTCAGAAAGTATATTTTCGTTTGGTAGGGCCAGAAGGTTTTGTATATACTTTCTTCTTACCTGATATAGACTTGTTAACCTTAACAGTGTTTTTAAGAGCCTTCATATTAGAACTAGGTATTTAGTTATAGGCTTCTAATGTTACGCTGGAAAATATCGGATTAGTGTCTTCAATAGATATACATTGCTTATCTGAGGTCACTACAAGCATGAGAGGCAAATTAACACTCTTCATTGGTAAATCGGTGTACTGGCTAACATAAGATAAGTTAGCTACACCAGTGGGTCCAGCTGCTGTGGCAACAGGATTTGTTGTGATCTCAAAAACATTATTTTCGTTTAAGGTGCGCTTTTGCTTAAGTCTTTAGTTAGTGGTCTTATCTGAGACTATGCGAGCGTATCTAAACATCGTAAGCGCGCAGATTAGCCGTTTAAATTATTTTAACTGTTCAGCTAATAAATGGGAATCGAATCTAAACAAGATAGGGCACAAGTATTTCTGGTGCTTTTTATGAAGTCGAATACGTTGGCATGGACTGTCTTGGAGGTTAGCTGCATTTAATATTGAATTTCTTGATGATTTAATGGCGATTTTGACGGGTATGTTAGAGATAATCACGTTATTTCAAGAGACTATTCGCTTAGTAACTTCGCTAGCGATAAAATCGACAACAGATTCTACTTTGATACTGTCTTCAAGTTCCTCAGGAACTACATCATTTGACAATAGCAGTTTAAGAGGTGATAGTGTTTTTAGTTCTTGGTTAATATCATTATGCTTTGATAGAGAGCCTGAAAGTGACTCCACTTTAGAACGCACATCGCTTAATTGCTTATAGATAGTGTCTAATTCACTCTTAATATTATCGATAATTTTTGATCTTGAGGTAGAACTCATTATTAAATCAGAGACTGAGTCATCCAGCAGCAAGTGTGGTATACGTCCACTCCCAACATTATCTGATTCAAAAGGAGCTGCAGAGCATGGGGTATGGGTAATAATAGAATTGTTATTCTCTGAAGAATTACGGCTTTTCCAGGCTCGTTTTTTTGTCAGTCGACCCATTTTACTTGAAAGGTTAATTCTAATGTTATTAATGAGTTATAAACTAGGATTCAACGATATATAAACACTTTATAAAAGATACCGTGTAATCGTAACATATATGTCTTATCTGTCAGATGGACGATTTTGTTGGCCTACTATAGACTGACACAAAATTGATTCGAAAACAACTGAAGGGCAGAAAATCTTTTAGCAGGATAATGACTAGTTATGATTCTTCATCCAGTCGACAATTGTTTCCAGTGTTTTCAACTAGGACTAGACAAAACCACTCCACTGTCTATAAAACTAGTTGAATTCAGAAAAAAATTGGTTGTACAATAGTATTATTGGTAATATTCATTTCATTTCGTAGCTTATATGATCACTTGTTTACTCAAACATCATTTCGTTACTGATCAATGTTCTTTTTGTCCAATAACTGTAGATATTCTCTTTAAACAAGCATGCGAACAACACGAAGGTAATTCAATATTGTCTGTTCGTCTGTGCTTATAACATTCTCTTTTAATTATTTGATTAATCAAAATTAGTAAATTATGTTTATATATTTAACATTTTATGTTTAATTTTGAACTATATATTTATATATAGCTATGTCACACTAGTTACTTATGAATTTGGCCATGAACATATGAAGTTTATTTATATCAAGAGCAAAATAACTTATGACTGAGAATAATGCATCATCATAATCACCTTCCTACTAATCTTGAATTTCTCACTTCAACTATTAATATGAATTGTTTCATGGATGTGAACTCTTTGATCGAATGATGTTACACTATTATATAATCCGAAAATAGATTGTCTAGAATAGTTGTGTAAACTGATTAACTAAATTGTTTCGTTATAATTACTTAATTATGTCTGTTACCCCTCGTGGAGGAGCATAGGCCGCCCATAAGGATTCTTCATCGAACCGTTTCCTGGGTTATAATACCACATCATTTTTCTAACAATTCCTATAATTTTTAACTGTATATTCATTTTTCTATAAATGAATTAGCTTCAATGTGTAGTACATTTATAGACTTTTAGTCAAATATAGTCTTGTTAAAATAAACACATTTTTTTAAATTTTTAACATATTCATGTTCATTTTGTTGCTACTTAATTATACTTACATTTTTATAAGTTTTAATTTCATTTCAAAATGTGACAATTCATTTTTTTTTCTTCTGAAAATAGCTCCTGGAAATTGCTTTTTATTTTGAACTTTTTTTCAGGCAAATATAATTACGTTATTTGTATTGTACATGAAAATCGTGATGAGGTCGCCAAAGGTCCGTTACTTTCACTGTTAAACTTTTATCGTGAAACACAATCTTTACCTGTTCTTACGGTAAGATCGAATTTTCAACATTCTAATCGTTTTATTTAAATGTGACAATATATCTAATACAATTTATAGTTTAATATCTTCTCATTTTGAATAATTTCGAATAATTATAATGATTTCTATGGAATTTTGAACTTATATTTTCTGTTTTTTTTCTTTCAAAAAAATTTAACTGTGAATATGATCATTTTTGTTCAATAACAAAGAAAGCTTTTGTAAAGAAGTAAAGTGGATGATGAAAATATTGAATAATTTTAAAGTTATATCTTTCAAGCATAATGCAAAAGTGGAAGATTAAAACTTAATCTTATAATTCAGATTTAATTTTTATTACCGGTGAGACTAAAGAACATGGACGAGCCAATCAGAAGCTTTTGCGGGTTTTCAAGGTCACGGCGCTAAGTTTGGTACCTGACGCTTACGTACGGTCGGTTTACAACGGATTTTAGAGAAAACATGATAATTAAGCGTCTACAAGATAAGTTATCATAAGATTTTGGCGCAAAATTCAATTATACATTTGGATAGAGTTGTGGCATTATAGCTGATGTCAGTTCGTGATGAAAACCCTAAGTATAATTCCTAACCTTAACCATGAACTGTAAATCATAATTTGAATTCTTCACACAGGTTTATAACCCTCATTTAGTCTTAGTTATTACGTTGACACTCTCAGATTCACTCTAGCGTCGCTCAAATGTCGTCCATAATTAATAGTCTCATCTTTAACCCTAAACCGTAACCCTAAACTTTAACCCTAATCCTAAACCCTAAACCATACCAACATACCGACAACACTGAAACTATGTGGTTTTGTTTAATATAATATATTTTTACTGTATGCTAACTGTCTTCTGATTAGCTAATATTTCTCAAAGTCATTTAAGATTCGTTCAAAGGTCGTCCATGTTCTTTAGTCTCGCCCTTATTACCTTTTTAAATGATGGTCTCGATGGAATGGATCTAGAAAAAACAGATTAAAATTGATCGATTTTGTTTGGTATACCGAAGAAGATCGAGAAAAATTTCGGTTGTTTCGTTTTTCTAACTAGATTGATCCTAGAATTCAATACCATATCTCTTCATTTTGAAAGTCTTAAAATTAAAATCAATAGTATAATTTTGTGCTTTATGGGGCTTGCTATTTTTTTGTGCTCCATGAGTTCACGAATAATCCTGGTTAATAGCGAATGTTTATCACCAGTGTGATACATTGAACAATTTGTTTTGTACGAAGTTGTAATTAAAAGTAAATTTTTTTAAAAGATCGAAAGTAGTTGCTTAATTAAAATTAACTTTTTTTGTAAAAAAAACAATGTTTCTTTTTCGTGTATTTTGCTTTTCAGTTTAATTTTTGTACTTGGCATAATTTGCCTTATAGTAAAGACAAAGAAATTATGGTACAAAGTTTTCTACGTGAAGTATCTGACAAATTGAATGAAATGAATAATTTACATCTACCGGAAATTCATACAACGGATCTTGTTCTTTGTTCAACTGAATTATTAGGCTTTAAATAGTATGTTAATACAGGTTTTATTTGTACACTTTTTAGACAGATGTGTCTATAAACAATTAAGTTTTGTATGACTAATATACCATAAGAAAGTGCTTTTTTTTCTTTCGATTTTCAACGGATCTATTAAATTCTGAATGTTTTCGTATTGGGCAAGAAAAAAAACAGTAACTTGAGCGGTGTATTTGTATTTTACAGTTAACGATGAGTAGATTTTAATAACCTTACTGATCCTGGATATTGTGTCAGTTTTTGATATGGAGATTTCTCATCTTACTTTCTATTTTAAATTGTTTGTAACAACATACGGTATTATAAAATACATATTTCCTTGATAAATCTATTGTTTTCTGTTTTATTCGCTACTTCAATATATTTCATTTAGTATGTTAAAGTTTTGTGAAAATAATTAATCTGTTTTTTCTACTTCTTCGACCCATTATCAAGGTGATTCTGTACATGAATTTAAATTTTGTGTTAAGTAGAATTATTTACTAACTGTTAATCTATTAAGGATTCCTATTTAAAACTAGCATCTTCTTGAATGTGTTTGTTTTTCTTCAGGGTCTACTAAAAAGCAACCCTTTTAAACTTGAAATTTTTGTTAAAATTAATTAATATGCTGATATTTAGGGTTTAACTTTTAATAAAGTTTATTTTCTTGTAGATCTTAATAAATAACTGTTATATCTTGTGACCGAGTGGATGCCCTGTTAATAAATGATGTGATAAGACCGTCAATCAGAGAGCAGCGAATTATCGATTGGAACAGTGACACACGAAAACCGTACGAGAAGTCCAGAGTGCTAACCGATCCTGCTTTTGCCTAGCCCAGCCAGTTAGGTCCAGAACACCAATAACAGTCTCTGCAATATGAATCATTATTCTCAAACATATTGGGTTTATAAACTGAACAAACTGACCACATCGTACCATAAAATAGAAAACATTTGTACAAGAGTTAGCCAAATGTGGCTGTGAATAGGGGGAACAGTAATTAATAGACTGGGTATAACTCAGGAATGGTAAATCGTACAATAATAGTCCAAGGGTCAAAATAAAGCTCACAACGAAAATAACATGAATATGAGTAGTTTAATTATTTAGAAAATATACGATAAAAATTGTATGCATAATATCGGTCCATAAATGGATCCCAAAGTTACTATTCGAGATATTAAAATTGAAACACGCATTTTATATAAGCAAACAATATGTTGACCAGTTATTACAAAAATGCTCAATATGTACATTAATAAATATCCAGCTTAAAAAGATCCACTTTGAGAATAATAATATTTCTTAAGGTTAATGGTATTCACTAAACAAAAATCAATTAGGCGACTTTGTTTAAAGCGAGAATTCTGTTCTAACTTTGTTTTTGACGTTTTATCACTTCATAAATAAAGTTTGTTTTAACCTGGTCAGGGATAAATATGACGATTTTCACTCACGCTTTCTAAGAAGGCGTATTTACATTGTAATCATTGATTCGTCAGCTGTTACCACAGTTTTAAACCGAATAATTTTCGCTATATTAAAGAGTTAAACATTTTAAGTATTTTCTATGAAGGTACGATCGACTGATGACAACAATTATACTTAAAGCCGAACATCATTTATATGAATAAACCTTAGTTTCATCTTTAAAACCTTAACCAGTGATGTGATCGAGTCGAAGAAATACAATACCACTATAATTAGTGAAATCCCGATGTTTGTAATAATTGATTAAAACTTATTCAAGGTTAGTATTGTCTCTGTCAATGAACGAATCAGAACAAATTTACCTTTAAGTGACCTGTTGAGTTCATACGCTTTAAAATTTAAGTAAACAATAACATTTTAATTACAAATGTGCAAGTGGATTTCAAAAATGTAGTGTGAGAGCATACAGTAAAAAAGGTGGAAGTTTGTGGATGTCTTGATATCCATAACAGTAATTGATACAATGTAACCACTGACTGATAAAATGATGCGATCACTGTTCATGACTGAACTGATAAATTTTTTATGGACTAGACCTAATCAATTTCATACGGAATTCCTATGATGCATTAAACTGCAAAATCGTGCATGGAGGACAGTTGAAAAACTCGTTCGAGGTAAAGACTGATGTCAGGCACGGTTGCTTGCTCTCACCCTTTTTTCCTCCTGGTGATTGGCTGGATCATGAAGACGTCGACATCTTTAGGGAAGCACGGGATACAATGGACAGCCAGGATGCAGCTGGACGATTTAGACTTCGTAGATGATCTGACTCTTCTATCACACACGCAACAACAAATGCAGGAGAAGACTACCAGTGTAGCAGTAGGCCTCAATATACGCGAAGGGGAATGCAAGATTCTTCGATACAACATGGTATGTACCAATCGAATCACGCTTGACGGTGAAGCTTTGGAGAATGTAAAAACATTTACGTACCTAGGCAACATCATTGGTGAACGCGGTGGATCTGATGCAGATGTGAGGGCGCGGATCGGCGAAACAAGAGCAGCATATTTACAACTGAAGAACATCTGGAACTCAAAACAACTGTCAACCAACACCAGCATTTTGAATACAAATGTCAAGACAGTTCCACTGCATGGGGCGGGGACGTGAAGAACTACGAAAGCTATCATCCAGAAGATACAAGTGTTTAATAAAAGTTGTCTACGCAACATACTTCGGATCCGTTGACCAGACACTATCAGCAACAAGTTACTGTGGGAGAGAACAAAGCAGATTCCAGCGGAGGAAGAGGCGCTGGAAGTGGATAGGACACACATTAAGGAAAGCAGCCAACTGCGTCACAAGGCAAGCCCTCACATGGAATCCTGAAGGCCAAAGGAAAAGAGGAAGACAGAAGAACACATTAGACCGAAAAATGGAGACAGACATCAGAAGAATGAACAACAATTGGAAAGAGCTAGAAAGGAAGGCCCAGGAGAGAGTGGGTTGGAGTAAGCTGGTCGGGGGCCTATGCTCCATTGAGGGTAACAGGCGTAAGCAAGTAAGTAACACATAATCCCAAATAAATCTATTTCAGCAAATCGAATCAGTCATTTGTGTTTAGAAATAAATAACCTTTTTTTATCGTGGATGAATAAACAATTTTGAATGCATCAAATAAGGTTGACTTAGTGCATAAAAGCTGACATGTAAATTTTCATCGTGTAATAGGGTCAACTATTTCATTTGTGTAAGTGCTAAGTACGGTCGAACGCCTCTTATATGGTATACTCTATATTTCAATTAAATGATAGCCTCCTTATCTGCAGTGTTATCATGCGGAGCAATTAGCTTCTGTAATTACTGTAACAATTTAAATGTTAGAACTGAAGGATTTCCTGTTTGTATGAAAGGGATGTGGAGTTTTTCAAATATATTTCAATGAAAGTATCCACTTCCCAAATCAATGAAATTTCAATTATTACTAACAGTAATGATATATTACTAATATCCTAGCGAGTAGAAAATTCTGACGTCTTGTAGTTTAGTTCAAGTCGTTTCTTCAGAAGTTATCAAGTCGAACCTTGGTCGTGATATTTTACGAATTGTTTTTTAACGACTTAACCTGTTATATAATTGGTACATCCGAGAGTGGGGAGAATCCGCTCTCCCTCTCGAAATGCTCTCACATGGCCACGCGTATATAGCCTCTGCCAGGGAAGTCTTACTCACTGCCTTCTCGTGGCGGGGGTGTTATTTTTGAAATTAACACAACGAAAAGCGAATGTCCGGTGATTTAACCGGGTTGGTGGACACAGAAAGTTCACCTAGGGGAGTTGGAAAACCCTGATTTTAAACGAATGGTGCACATAAGCTCCAGTATCCCGAGGGAACAAACGGTGTATGAATCAATCGTTTGTCACCGGCTACCATGGGACGGCATATCTTTACGATGCTCTACTGCCTTGTGGATCAGATCTTCAGGTCAAAGGCTTGGGGTGTGGCCCCCTAAGAAAACCTCCTCCTTCGGTCTGGGCACCCGGGCAGTATCGTAGCCCTCACACAAACTAGATGAGATTTGTGCGGCGCATATATATCTGGTGCCCCTTTGTACCAATATTTATATGTTTAAATAATAATAATAAGTTATATAATCAAACCTGAAATCTCCCACTATACGGAATCTTTGTTCACAGTCAAGTAAATTTCAAAGGATCCATTTATTAATTAATTGATTAAAGATGTGAATACACTTAAGAATACTGGAACTAATGTGTAAAAACTATTTACTCAAGATAGTTTGACTTATTTCTATATAAATAACTCTCCATGAATATGAATAAAGTTCAACAGGCTTTTGTGATTTGTCATTCCCGTCGGTCTTAATTGATCAAAACGCTCTCTGTATTCCATCAAACATAATCATAGCATTTTTAGCACAGAAGAATAATACATGATATAACCCTTACAAATCTTTTTTCTTAAGAGAATTCGAACCTCAAATCAAATCCATGTGACTGAAAGAAAAACAAATGCATACCGTAAAATCATTATTCAATTTTATCGCAAAAATAAATTCCGTTCTATTGTATTGGTTGTTTGAATTTTCTTAATGATGTTTAGGGTTGCAATTGATCAGTCTCACTATCTACTTTCAATTTACCATAATAGAGAAGGATATATATTTGACAAGGCTAAAATTCATTTATATTAATCAGCAGTCGTCATAAAGGCATAACTTGTCTAATTATGGTTGCTTTATGTCAAGTATGAAAATAGAACTAACTGTTCGGTGGTGAGATTGTGATGATGAGAAAAACCAAATAAACATCGATTGCTTTGTGACTTTCATTTCCATCCTTTTTTATTTGAATGTTATGCTAACTGTAAATTTATAAATAAGGGAAATACATAAGCTGAATGATTCAGACTGAATGGCTGAGTCACGTATAAGGATTTGCTTGCGAAACGGTACTACTATTTATGACAATAAAAGTAATGTATTTTGCATACCTCTAGGATATTTAAACGCGTCATGATACAACTGAATAAAGGAAGTGTTTTCTGCAATAATGATACAAGAGTTATTTACAATACACATATGAAAATCAACAAGCAGTAGCTACATACACTGAAAAATGAATTTTTAACGAATAGAAATGAGATTTAAACATACAAATTATATAAATTCCTACAGATGGACAAATATTGAATGGATGCACAAGAAATGAAGATAACTGTTCAGAACGTTATGAGAGTACAACTTCAGTGATAAACTGACTAGATCTGTAAAAGTATAAATAAAATTTTGTTTTATCCCAATGACTAGAGAAATTATATTTCTGACGTTTTGTGACTTAGTGAAAGCCACTTATTCAGAGTAAATAAATGAATATCCGAATTCAATTCACACAAGTATAAATAGTACTATTTAAACTCATCCCTAGAATTAAACAGCTTGGTTATATTTTTATAAATTACAAAGATAATACGTATCATATTTGTAAGTAGTACAGAGTTTCTCGAGAGTTTTTCCTGTTTATTTTTAAAGGTATTATACTAATTCGTAAACGGCGTTACATTTTATTAATCCAAACTTTCTAGCTCATATCAGCTCTAAGAGTTGTATAAGACAACCATATTATGAAGTTGATTTTCACCTTGAACTGTTTTTGACAAAACAATCATTGGAAGTCAATGATAATTGAACATTTGTTTAACCAAATTAGTAATAAGCACGCACGCGCCATCACTGAAATAGT